AATAAACTTTATTTCATGAGATATATTTTCGTGTTGCAATTATTTTTACTTGTCTCCATCAGTGTAGCATGTATATTTGTGTGTTTGCATGTGATTAATCATGTGTGTGTCTGCTCGTTTACCCAAGGGGAGAAAGACAGAATGTGTGCAATGCTAGAGAGACAGAATGTGTGCAATGCTAGAGAGACAGAATGTGTGCAATGCTAGAGAGACAGAGCAAGCAGGTCTAAGGTCTTCTATGGTCAGAAGAGTCTTAAAATCAATGAGGTAAAATCAGAAATTCTTTCTAACATAATACAAAATCTGTTTGTGTATGTCTTTTTGGCTTTCCTACAATTACTCTTTGATTATATTTTTTAAATGTGGTATATTTTACAAATAAGTTTGTATTTTTATCAGATTATTTTAAATTCTCTATATTTGTATAGTTTGTGTTGTTTACATTCCAAGGGATCAGATGATATTGGCTATAGCCCTGCCTCTGTGAAATGTTTCTCAAATTAAAAGAAATATGTGAATGTGTGTGTGCACGCACAGGCACTAGCACGCACAGAGATAGATATGTATAGATGTTTATCTCCTGCCAAAACAATGACTGCATGATTCATCATATAGAAAATGTCAGCACTAATGATCATCTTCTAGATTACCATCATGGTGATCAAATAGAATTTCAAATATTTATCAATTTATTCTTCTCTTTAAAAAAAATACATGTATTATGCATAGCAAGATGAAATTTATCAAAAGTAGGAGATATTTTCTTTATGTTATATTAACATTTGGGTGCTCTCTTTTACCCAGAAGTCTCATCTTTATCAAATGTATATGCCTACAAATGATAATTTTCTCAAAAATCAAATTGTTGCCACCCTTAAAGTCATTATGTTTCACTTGGGAAACAAACTGACAGCATTCAATACAATGAAATGCTGATAGAGAAGTAAGGAATAAGGAAACTGATTTCTTAAGATGGCAAAGTGATAAAAATAAATAAATAAATAAATAAAAATAGGGGTGAAATTCTACAGTCCTCAAGTGTAGGAGCCAGGAGAGAGGTTGGTATGACAAGAGTACTCAGCAGAGTTCTAAATCCTTTTGATTTTTTTTTGATTGAAAAAACATAGGTGGAGACATGAAAAGATACAGAATCCTTTTAAGAATGTGTGGAGAGATAACTGAGTTTAACAGAGCCAGGCTTCTCCCTGAGCTATTTTAGAAATTTAGGAGTTAAAGAGTCGATTTCTTGAGACACAAAGCAGAATCATTTGAATATGATATTGAAAATTGTGTTCATATAAGGTTAATGAGAAAATAATCCTTTAAATTATGAAGAGTCATCCGTAATAGGTAACACAAAAATTCATGACCTATAGGCTATACTAAAATATGTAAATGTACTCTAACCAAAGTTCAATAGCCTAATTTCATGATAGTTCTCGTTTGAATTTGGACAATGAGGACTTTTCTAATAGGCAACACAGCTCTCTATTGTTAAATATGATGTTGTTCTGGGTCTTGTAAAATTTTAATAGAAAATGTTGAGCTTACGAAAACCTATAGAAATATGTAAAGGAAACAATAGAAAACAAAAGCTAACTCAAACATCAGTCACATATTGAAGTTTGTGTTAACTTTAGAGAAATGTATCATAGAATCTAACATAAAGTGTGGATATTTTCTAAAAATACAAATGAATAATGTGGTAAAAATTTAAGAATTGGCTTCAGAAAAACAATGTAATATGCATAATACTCAATATATCATACCTGCTCAAGAAACATGATTTTTGTCCCATTTCAAAAGAAAGAAAAGGTTTTATTTTTTTTTTGTCACACTAGAATCTTCTCCAATACCCTTCTGTCACTTCTAAAATGTCATGATATGAGCAATAAACATTGTAATAGGAAGAAACACAGAGATAATCATAAATTTCATGCAATACAATGCTTTAAACATGATTGACACGTGTTTATAAAAAATGATTGACACATGTTTATAAAAATAAATGCCAATTGATAGTTGAAAGAGGCTAGCCGACATATGTGAATTCTCTCGGAATTCTCCAATGACTTGGACTTTTTCACATCTATGCACTTATGACTACCTTCAGTGTTCAGTGACAGCGAGGAGCACAAGTGATAGGATTTGTGAATCAGAGGACATTTAGATTCAGCTATTGTAAAATGAAGAGTGGAAGCTCCTTTCTTCCTTACCAATCCCTCCAATGCCTATGTTGATGTGGTGGAACAAAATTTAGATTTACCTCTCTGCTTGACTGTAACTCATTCAGCTATCCTCTTAAAATAGGTCAAATTTACTGTGTAAATTATGTTTTAACAGAATATATTATTCTGTTAATATATTATATATATTAATATAATATATAATTATATAATATAATCAGTAATATATTAACCAAAAAAAATAAAATCTTTCCATGACTGAGTATGAGTATCTTTGTTCCCATCATTGCCTCATGGATGAGCTAAACACTGTGGAAGCAAATAACTGATTCCTGGATAGTTGGTTACTCTGGATAGTTTGTACCTTCCACACACTGTTTAAGAGACATGTCGTCCCTGAAACTGCAAGGCATTTGTAAGATAAAATGTGACACCTGTTAAAAAAGCCATGAGCCCAAGATGAAGCACAAAATCTTACCTTAGAGTGTTTGACATTCACATCTAGAATCTTCATTTGGGATGGTGAGGGAACCATGGAGCAAATATAGTTTCTAACTGTTAATGATTCATATATTTTCTGAAAAGTCTGAAATATAGATAAGATTATTTCATAAGAAGAAAAGAGAAAGAATCAAAGAAGAAAGCAGAGGAAGGAAGGAAAGGAAGGAAGGAAGGAAGGAAGGAAGGAAGGAAGGAAGGAAGGAAGGAAGGAAG